TTCAATGATGGACTGCAGCGGGTGCGATCGCACGGGGGGAGGCCCATGGGGCCAACGTTGGGGAAGGAGGGGTGGTCGGACGGGTGGCGATTTCGATCGCTCGGGGTTGCGTGGGGGCGAGCGCGACCGTGGCAACGATCAGTTTGCCATCGCGAGCCGTTTTGGCGCTGCGCGGTGCCACCCGCTGCAGCTGCGCGCCACCCGCGGCGCCCGCGGCTCTGCGCGGCGCCGACCGCGCTCGCGCGCGATGGCGGAGGAGTTCCTGTCTGCGGCACAGGCGTTCGCGTCGCAGCTGAACGGCCCTGGCGCCGAGATCGAGCGCGACAGCCAGCGCGGCGGCGAGCGCGACGGCGCGGGCGGCAGGCGCGACGGCGCGGGCAGCGAAGCCGTTGCACCAGCCACGGAGGATGACCACGCAGGGGAGGTGGCGTCGCCAGTGGATGTGCCACCGTCGCCGTCGCCGCCGCCGCCGCAGAGCTACAGCGGCTATACGGCGGAGAGCGGCGACAGCGCGCCGCTGCCGAAGCAGCGCCACCCGTTGCGCGTGCCCGTCGGCATCTACGCGCAGCCGCCCGAGCAGCCGCCGCCGAAGCGCCCGCGCCGATCGGCGGCCGCGGCTTCGGTGTCGGGCGCCTTCGACGTGCTCGCGAGCGCCGTCGTGGCACCGATGCCGCCGCGCTCGAGAAGGCGGCGCCAAGGGCGCGCGCGCCGACAGTCGCGCCATGGCGGCAACGGCTGCAGCAGCAGCTGCCGCGGCCACCAAGGGCATCGGCAACAGCAGCAGCAGCTGTGACGGCAGGACCAACGCCACCAGCAACACCACCGCCTTGGCGCTCAAAATCAGCACCAGCGCCACCATCAGCAGAAGCGAGAGCAGCAGCACGCACTCTGCCGAAGGCCCCCTGCCTAGGCCCAGCACCACCAGCAACGCCACCGCCTGCAGCAGCAGCAGCAGAAGCGAGAGAAGCGGCAATCAACGCACATCCAGCAGCAGCTGCAGCAGTCGCAGCGTGGCGGCAGGCGAAGCAGCAAATGCAGACCAGGCAGCAGGCGCAGTCAGCAGCCGCAGCAGCTCCAGGTCCAGGAGCAGCAACTGCTGACCTTGCTGCAGCACTGCATGCCGCAGCCGCGGCGTGGGCGAGCGCGTGCGCGAAGCGGGCCAACAACTACACGCCCGAGCAGGTCATTGACCTTCAGGCGGAGCCGGCTGCGGCGACGGCGATGGGCCTGCGGTGGGATCAGCGCGGCCCTGCGGGCCCGCAGCAGGGCGGCCCCGACACGTGGCGGGGGCAGCAGTACCGCGCCAACAGAGGTGTCTGGGCCAATCGGGGCGGTCGGAATCGCGAGTTCTTCAACGCGAAGTGCGGCGGTGGCAAGAACAAGGGCAAGGACAAGGGCTGCGGCAAGGGCATGGGCAGCGGCAGGGGCAAGGGCTGCGACAACGCCACCGCCAGCCGCACCGCCGCCAGCAGCACCGCCGCCAGCAGCGGCAGCCGCCAGCATGATATGCAGTACTTGTGAGCAGCGGCGCAGCCCGCTGCACCTCGGCAGCTGCGGCGCTTCGCGGCAGCCGCTGCGCTGCCGCGCTCGCTGCTGCGCCCGCTTCGCGGCAGCTGCGGCGCTTCGCTGCGGTCAGCTGCGGCAGCGCCGTGCTCGTGAGCGTCGCGGCGGCGGCGCGTCGCTTATAATCGCTTGACTTCGCGCTTGTGAGCGCGCGCAGAGACGGCTGCGCATGGTCGGCGGCGGCGGCGGCGACGGCGGCGGCGAACGCGGCGACGGCGTTAGCGACAGTGAGCGGGTCTGGTGCCTGGGGGGTGGAAGCAGTCCAATTGTTGGGCTGGCAGGTGTAAAAACGACCCCGATCGTTGATGGGGGGGGCGGGGGGGGGCGGAGCGAACGCGCGATGGTTGGCGACGAGCGATTTCGATCGCTCGGGGGGAAGGGTGGTCTGAATGAGTTGGTGACAGCGATTCTGATCGCGGCCTGAGGGGTTTGAGGGGGGCGTTGGAGGGCGCCATGGGCGATTCCGATCGCGTGGGGGTGGGCTGCGCGTGTATAGGATAGCGATTTCGACCGCTTCCGATGCGTGGGCATGGTTCGAACGCGCAGCATGCCATTGCCGTTGTTGGCTCTGTCCCCGCGCGCGGCCTGCAGCGGGCGGCGTCGCGGCCCGCGGCGGGCGGCGGGCGACGTCGCGGCCTGCGGCGGGCGGCGGGCGGCACCAGCAGCGGCGGCGGCGGCCGCGGCAGCAGCAGCAGCAGTAGCAGCAGCTGCCAACACCACCGTCGGCAGCACTGACATCAGCAGCAGCAGCAGCAGCACCGCTGCAGCAGCAGCGACAGCAGCTCCAGCAGAAGCACCATGTCGGCGCAGGGCGAGTGGTACCGCCTCGGGTGCGCGGCCCCAGGCTGCACAAAGAAGTGATTCAAGCAGACGCCACAGGAGTGCTACACCTGGTACGAGGAGCACCTGAAGAACTCGACCGCTGAGAGCCATGTGTCCATCGAACAATGGCAGCGGGCCGAGATGGCGGTCACGTCGACCGCCACCCCCCTCGACCCCGAGGAGGTCGACGAGTGGCGCGCGTGGGAGGCCAGGAAGCAGGCTGAAGCAGGCGCAGCAGACGCAGCAGGCGCAGCAGCAGCAGCAGCAGCCACCTCCGCGAGTCGCGGGCAGTCGCGCGAGTCGCGGTCGCGGTCGCGCAAGCGCCGCCGCCGCGCCAGCCGCGCCAAGCGCGAGGAGGCCAGCCCGCCGCCAGCGGCCCGCGCCCCGCACTCGCCGAAGCGCAGGGGCGAGCCGACCTCGCTCGCCGCCGCCGCCCGCCGAGGCGCAGTCGCTGGCGGCGGCGGCCTCCGCGCCATGTCGGCGCCCTCGGCGCCGCCGCCCGCCGCCGCCGCCAATCAGGTCCGCTCCCTCCACGAGACTGCGGAGTCTCTCAAGGAGACGATGATGGCGGTGGCGGGCGTCGTGGCTGCGGGCTCTGCTGCGGCCTCTTCGTCGTCGGCGTCCAACGCGGTCACCATCCTCAAGGAGACCGCGGCGCCGATGGCGCCGCGGTCCGTGAGCGCGACGACGGCGACGCTGTCCATGGGCGCGGCCAAGCAGATCGCGGACCACACCAGGAGGGCCGAGAGCTGCGCGGAGACGGCGGCGGACGTCTGCAGCAAAGCCGCGGCCGCGTTCCAGAGCGAGGCGGCGAGCCTGGCGTCGGCGCGCGCCGACGTCGAGCAGGCGACGCGGCCGCGCGGCCTCTGAGGTTGCACCGCAGTTGGGGGCAGATCGATTGACTGATGGACACCAGGAAGCTGAATGGTTAGCTGGTGGTGGCACCAAGTGGCTAGCCATTCGGCGTCCATGCATCCAGCAGGTAGTCGCCCGGCTCTCAACTGTCACCAGGCTGCCTCCCCGCGCCGCCGCCCCGCAGCGCTGGCAGCGCTGCCGCGGCTGCGCCCGCCCGCCGCCGCCGGCCCTCGCCGCGCCCGCCGCGGCGGCCCCCGCCGCGGCGCCAGGCGCCGCTGGCCCCGCCGCGCCCGCCGCGGCGGCCCCCGCCGCCCCGCGCCCCGCCCGCCCGTCGCCGCGGCCGCCCGCCGCCCCGCTGCGGCACCGCGCCGCCCCGCGCCCGCCGCCGCGGTGACGCGGTGACCGCGCGGCCTTGCGGCGCCGCGCCGCCCCGCGCCCGCCGCCGCGGTGACGCGGTGGCCGCGCGGCCTATCGCGGCAAAAGGCGTCGCGAGGGGAAGAGGTGACGATCGCTTTGATGTCGAGCGCGTGGGTTAGATGCCATCGCTCGATCGCGCTCGGAGCGCGGATGGGGGGGGGATGGGGGGGGGGGGGGGGGGGATGTAGCGATGTTGATCGGTTGCGTAAGCGATGGCAATCACGCGGGGTAACAATGCCATCGCTTGGATTAGCGACGTCGATCGCTTTTTTTTTTTGGGGGGGGGCGATGGGCGTTGAGTGCGTGGGGGGGGGGGGGGGGGGGGGGGCGTAGCGATGCCGATCGTTTGGGTAAGCGGCGACCGCCAATTGGGTTAGCGAGGCCGATCGCTGGGGGGGGGGGGGGGGGGGACGATGGATGTTGGGTGGGGATTGCGTAGCGATGCCGATCGTTTGGGTAAGCGGCGACCGCCAATTGGGTTAGCGAGGCCGATCGCTGGGGGGGGGGGGGGTGACGATGGATGTTGGGTGGGGATTGCGTAGCGATGCCGATCGTTTGGGTAAGCGGCGACCGTCAATTGGGTTAGCGATGTCGATCGCTTGGGCGGGGCGGCGGCGAGGGATGCGGATGGGAGGGTGTAGCGACGTCGATCGCTCGAGAGGGGCGACGGTGAGTGACGTTGAGGGGGATGGTGTGGCGATGACGATCGCCGGCGAGCGTAAGCGATGGCGATCGCTCGTGGGAATGATGATGGGGTCGGGGGAGCGAGATTGCGAGATGGCGGTGGTGGTGATCGGAGCAAGTGCACCTAGGGCCCTGGTAAGTACCGCAAGTCTCATGCGTTCCTCACAATGTTATATGTTTGTTATCGTTTTGCTTTCTTGTGCTATCTTTCGTTATCCTGGAATTTCGGGTGCGAGGTTAACAAAAAAGATAACATAGGCTAACATGTCATCCTAAAGATTTCCATGTTATATGTTAATGTAACACACCCAGGATAACTTGCTATGTTAGGGTAACATGTTATCTTGTGTTGTCCTGGTGTCAGAAAGCCAAGGGTAGCATGGGATAACACAAGATAGCAAACATATAACAAAAATATATCATCGTGTGGAACTTATCCTACTTATCATACTTAGGCGCGGTAAGTAACTTAGCGATGTTGACCGCTTGTTCATAACGCTCGTGGTTGTTGATGTGACGCCATTGCTGTTGTAGATCGACCGGGCGAGCTTGGCGCTCGTCCTTGCGACGAGAACGCCCCCCCCCGATCGCGGGGCTTGCGCGCCGCGCGCCGCTCTCGGGACCCGCGCGCCATATCCGCCGCGACGGGCGCCGTCCAGGCCAAGGACGAAAGCGACTGCGACAGCGAGGCGACGCTGAAGCTCGCGGGGCCGAACGATGATAGCTTGCACGCTGCTGCGATTGCCGACCCCGGCTTGGGCAACGGGCAGGCAAGCGACGCCGCGGCGGGCGGCGCCGAGGGAGGCGGCGCCGCGACGGGCGGCACCGAGGGGGGCGACGCAGCGGTTGGCGACGCCGAGGGGGGCGACGCCGCGGCGGCAGGCAGCGCGGGTGGCGCCGCGGCGGCAGGCAGCGCGACGCGCGACGCCGCGGCGGCAGGTTGCGCGGGCGATGCCGCGGTCGATGCAGGCAGCGCGGGCGGCGCCGCGGCCGCTGCAAGCATCGCGGGCGACGCCGCGACGCCACCGACGGCGACGCCGAGTGCGCCCATGAAGGGGGCGCGGCCGCCGAAGAAGGCCAGGGGGAAGGCGAAGGCTGCAGATACGGCGATCCAGCACGCGGCGAAGGGCAAGGCTAAGGGCAAAGCCATGTCGGCGCCGAAGCCCCCGCCCAGGAAGGCCACAGCCAAGGCGACGGCCGCGGCAGCGCCTGTGCCACCCAGGGCCAAGTCGGCGAGTGCGGCAGCGCTTGCGCCCCCAAGGACCAAGTCGGTCAAAGCTGCAGCGCCTGTGACCAAGGCAGCAGTGGCGAGTGCGGCAGCGCCTGCGCACAAGGCCGCGGGCAAGGCCATGGCTGGCTACGCGGACATCGGCAAGTGGATCCAGAAGGTGCCAGTCCGACCGCCGCAGGCGGACTCGATTGCTGCGTGCTCGGGGACGGCTACGCCCAGCAAGACGGGGTGGGGCGAGGACTGCTCCTCTCCACAGAGGTTCGCGGTGGGGAGCTTCGCGGCGCTATCGGGCCCGCAGAGAAGGAGCCGCCTGAGCGACCAGCGCGAGCTGGGCCTGGATGCTCTCGACGACACGTTCCACTGCGATCGGCGCGGCCAGCCGTGCGACGTGATGTCGTCGTATGCCATACGGGTCACGAAGAAGGGGCAGGTCTTCATGTGCAAGTTGCGATCGTCGCGCGGCGTCGAAGTCGCTCGTTGCGAGGAGCGGGGTGCGATGAAGGCGCGGCTGCTGCGTTTCACTGATCACGAGCGGAAGGCCTTCTGGAGCGGCCTGCAGGAATGCACGAAGAAGTTCGAGGTGCAGACGCACCTGAATTTCACGCTGCAGACGCTCGCGGAGAAGGGGCAGCGGCACGGCAAGAACGGCGGCTATTACCCATTGACGTGGCACAGGAAACAAGGGTCCCCGTGGCGCCGCATCAGATCCACGTGCACGGACGCGGTTCAGCACCCCGTGCTGGGCAAGTGCTACCGCGTTGAATTTCATGAAATAGAGCGCTGGGAGCAACAAGTGGGCAGAAAGGTCCAGGAGGAGTCCGCGAAGGGCGTCGGCGCGAGCGGCGGTGACGTTGCAGCGGACGGTGACCGCGAGAGCAGCGAGGGGGTCGACGATGTCGACAACGCCGACTTCGAGGAATGCGAGGAGGAGTGCGAAGGCGGCGAGGAGGAGGAGGGCGGCGAACGCGACGAGGTGATCAGTGATTCACTTGCGTCGCCCAGCGGCAGCGGCAGCGATGATGATCACGATCGCTCATCAGAGGACGGCTCGAGTCACGAGCCACCGACGCCACCCATCAAGGCAAAGCATAGCCGCAGGGACGGCACCAAGAAGGTCTCACTCAAGGACGAGCTGCACAGCTGTGACGACATTGAGCGCACCAGTACCACGCGCAGAGATAATAAGCATCGCAAGGACGGCGATGCGAAGGTCAGCAAGCACGGTGGCAACACAAAGCTATCGAGTGATGCGATGATCAGAGCAGCACTGAAGCGCCCTAAAAACAAGGCCGCGCACACGGACAAGGGCAGAAGCAGCAAGGACAAACACAATGACAAGGGCACACGCAGCAAGGCCACGCGCCTTGATAAGAGCAGCGCGGGCCGCGCCAAAGACACGTCCATCCACGCGAGCAGCAAGGGCAAGGCCAAGGGCAAGGCCGCTGAGAAGAAGAGTGCCGACAGCACTAAGGAGAATAATCACCGCGACGCCGACGCCCATGAGAAGGACAATGTTCACAAGAAGCACAAAGAAGCCGCTCCCCACCAGCAGCGGCGGCGACAGAAACACCGACAGCGACTCCCCCGAGCTGCCGCCGTCGCACGAGACCGCCCAAGAGAGGAAGACCCGCGAGAAGGCTGAGAGGGAGAGCGCCAAAGAGAGGATGGGCACGCTGAAGAAGGCGGAGAAGGAGAAGGCAACCAAGATGCCCCTGGCGACGCGGGCGCAGGTGATTATCATCACCCTCTTACCCCCCCCCCCCCCGTCCTCCTCCATCCCACCCCCAAGCACTGCTCGGCATCCTTCTCCTCCTGCAGGCGAAGCTGATGGTCCCGCACCAGAGGCTGGAAAAAGCCATTGAATCCGACGGGTTCGGCAAGCTCCCCGATGCCATAAAGAAGAACGCGACCGACAAGTTGCAGACGTTGTCGGCCATTCTAAGGGCGAGCTCGAAGATTGCCTCCAGGCGCTGGGACCCCTCCAAGTTCACGTGGACGGCGACAGAAGCGAACGACATCGCCAACACGGCGGATGCACAGGGTGTGTTCGTGAGCACGATGTGCAAGAGCATCCAGACCATGAAGTAGGCATGGTCTGGACGTCATCGGCGTGGCCTTAGCGCAGCCACGCATCGCCAGGAGTCGCTGCAGGTAGCGGCGCTGTCGGCCACGTGGTGCCTTAGCGTCGTTCCCCGCCATGGCCATGGTGGGGGGATTGAGGACGGCGGCGCGCCCTGCCCACCACCGCGCGCACCACAGCCGCAAGCCTTGGCAGGGACACAGCAGCCTGCCGTCTGATCCAGGCGCCACGCCTGAGCTTGCGCAGTCAGGCAGCTCTATTATGTTGAGCTGTTTTCGTCCAGCCGCAGGCTGGGTTATTTTGAGCTGTTGAGATTTATGTTTGCTTGCAGGCGCCCAGCTGCATTCTGCTGGAGCTTGCGCAGCCAGAGAGTGCAGCTGCCACCGCTGGCGTGCACCGGCCATGTGCCCTGTTCCTTGCTGCGCATATGCCACCCAGCAAGGATGCCTTTCCGCGCGGCGCAGCGCATTTGCGCCACGCCGTGCCATGGCGCAGGCGGGGCGCATCGTGACGGAGGGGAATGACGAGGATGATGCACACGAGGAGGGTGAGGCGCCTCCCCTGCCACCCGCCGCGCGGCACATCATTTCCGCGCGGCGACCACCTGCCGCGCGGCACATCATTTCCGCGCGGCGCAGCGCATTTGCGCAGCGCCGCGTGCTTGGTTCCAGGTGCGGGCGAGGCGCGCGGTGACGCGCGTTGCCCCTCTCCCACCGCCTGCGCGTTGATCGCGCAGCGGCTGTGGCTTGTAAAAGCAAAACGGTGATATCAATGCCGGTCGCTGGATGTGGGTGGCGCAGTCGCGGAGGTGGCAGAAGCGGGTGGGCGAGTGACCTAGCGATGGCGATCACTGTGGGGTGGAGGGTAGCGATGCTGATCGCTGCGGGACGGATGGGAGCGATGGCGATCGCTATGTTGAGGAGCAGCGTGGGGATCAAAATGTTCAGCGGTGGCGATCGCTTGGGGCGGGGTGATGAGCGGTGGTTGGCACGAGAAGTAGGATGATGATGATGATGAGGATGATGCTGAGACGGCGGAGGGGGATGAGGAGGACGGAAAGTGTTGCCAGCGATGGCGATCGCTTTCGAGACTGGGAGGTTGGGCTCATGGTCAGTCATAGAGCAGCGTCGGCTCGATATCGGCGCGCACCCGCGCGCCGCATGGCTGCCTCGGCCGCGCCGCCAGGCGAGCGCGCCGCCAGGCGTCGCCGATTGGGCGAGCTCGTCGCCGTGCCAGGCACCACTGCCAGGGCACTCGCGCGCCTCGCGAAGCAAGTCGCGGATGACCCAAGTCGTGCTGCATCGATATCTCGCAATGCGGTCAGTTCCGCCGTTGCCGAGGCTTACGACGCCGTCGGCACGTCGATCGAGCTCCCACTTGCCGACAAGGCTGAGAAGCCGTTCAACTGGCACGTCGGTAACGTCGGCAACTTGTTGCGGCACGTGTGCCGAGAGAGCCCCGAACACGCTGCGATTATCGAGCGGGCGGTTGAAGGTGGCGTACCGCTCACATTGGTGTTATACTTGGACGAGATCACGCCAGGCGACGCGTTGGCGCCGCGGCACGACCAAAAATTCTGGATGATATTCTCCAGCTTCCTGGAGTTTGGTTCCGACATGCCACACAGGCAAGAGTTGTGGCTTCCATGTGGCGTCCTGCGCCCGAAGGTCGCCAACGGCGTGGACGGCGGCATCAGCAGCGTCGTTCGGCTCCTCCTGAGGAATATGTTCCTTGCTCCAAGCAGGCTGGCCACTGCTGGCGAGCGCGCGCCCTTGGCCGACGGCACCTCGGCGCTGATTCGGGCGCGCCAGTGCAAGATCCCCGCCGACATGGACGCCCACAAGTGAGTACTCAGCATGAAAGGTGCCAACGGTTGGCGGCCGTGCATGCGACGCAAGAACGCCGTCAGAAAAGGAGCCCGCGTCGCGGGCGACGTCGACAACTATTTCGTCGACATTTGCTGCCACGACTTCGCGCGTTTCGACGCGCAGTCGGACGACGAGGCGCGGGGGCTCTGGGACGAGCTCGCCGCGCAGGTTGGCCACCTGTCAGCGGCCGGGTTCAAGAAGCTCGAGGTCGCCAGCGGGTTCAACTACCACGCTAATGCGCTGCTTGACGATCGCTAGCTGCGGAGCGCGGTGCGACCGTCATCGTCGATGTACGACTCAATGCACAACCTCTGGAGCAATGGCATCATCGTTTGGGAAGTGTTCGCTTTCCTGGGCGCGTGCAGAAGGAAGGCTGGCATGTCGTTCGCCGACTGGCGCAAGTACGCGCGTTGCTGGTCGCGCGCTGGCGGCTCGTCGGCGACGCGGCATGCGTTCACGACTGGGCGCGAGACCGCGTGCAAGAAGTCGTTCAAATCTGGCGCAAGCGAGCTGATCTCCCTGTTGCACATCCTGATGGCGTGCGCCGAGGAGCGCGTCGCCGACGTTCCGTCGCTCGAGCGCGAGCTCGATTCATTCCGCGCGTGCTGCCTGATGGCGGACGCATTCCTGCGGGCCAAGCGCGGGCTTCCCGCCCCAACCAAGGAGGAGTTCATCGCGCTGGCAGAGGTCCATTTTGACCTCCACCAGCGGGTGTACGGCTCCCGCTTCGTTAAGCCGAAGCACCACTACGTGTTGCACAACGCGGCGCAGGAACTCCCCAAAGCGCACCTCTCCCCCCCCCCCCGCGGGCGTTGCGTTTGAGCTGGGGGCGCTTGAGGGCGCCCCCTCCAACACCACCCGTCGCAATCGAACGCCACAACGCTGACCAGGAGCCCAAGCAGCTCGACTGCTTCGTCACTGAGCGGCACAACAAGGTGGCGAAGGGCATCGCCGAGTCCGCGACGAACTGCCCCAATTTCGAGCGCGCGGTCTTCGGGGCCGCCGTCCTGCACCAGTTGCGGATGCTCAGGGACATGGGGCCGTCTGGCAACGCGCTGGCGCCGCCGATGGTTGACTCGCCAGAGCTGCGCTCCGCGATCGGGGCAGTCGGGGCCTCCGGGGCGCTGTCGCTGCGATGGGAGGGGGCCCAGTTCAAAGCAAGCGAGATCGTTCGCTCGCGCGGTGGCGAGTGCTTCGTCGTGGACGCGCGCGCCGCCATTTCGGGCGACTTGCACATCGTCGCGCGCGGGATCGAGATCCACGCGCGCGGGAACGGCGTTAGCACTGGCCGCGTGATCAACGAGCTCCTCGTGATCAAGCTTGCCGACGCCGACCTGACGGCGTCGGTTTGGGCGCGGCGCCTGCGCAATGGCGAACGTAACATTGCGCGCGCCCGCTGTGAATATAAAAAAAAAAAAAAAAAAAAAAAAAAAAAAAAAAAAAAAGCAGGGCGCGCCGCGCCGCTGATGCGCAGGAGGCTGATGAGAGCGGGGGAAGCGATGGTGATCGCCTGGGGCGGAGCGGTGGCGACCGCTTCAAGTGGATGGGGGGACATGAGAAGGAGGGGGGGGGGGAGGGCGGGAGGGGGGGGGGGGGATGGGGATGGGAGAGGTGAGGGGGGGGAGGAGGAGGGAGAGGATGAGGATCGAGCGATGGGGATCGCTCGGGCGGAGCGGCGACGACCGCTCGAGGAGGAGGAGGGGGGGGGGGGAGAAGGAGGAGGGGGAGAAGGAGGGAAGAGGAGGAAGAGGAGGAGGGTGAGGGGCGAGCGATGGGGATCGCTTGGGCGGATCGGCTGCGACCGCTTACGGGGGGGGAGGAATGAGAGGATATGCGCGATATGGAGCGGAGCGATGGTGATCGCTTGAAAGATGGCGGGGGCGACGGTGATCGCCTGGGCGGAGCGGCGGCGACCGCGTTAGAAGGAGGCGTAGGAGGAGGACGGCGACGAGGGAAGGATGAGGAGAAAGGGGAGGAATCACGATAGCGATGGCGATCGTTGCAGGAGGCGAGGGGGGCGGGCAGGACAGGGCGCTCCGCGGGCCGCTGCGATGGAGGGCCAGCTGGTCGCGCTTGTCGCGTGGCACCGCGAGCAGCAGGCCGAGCTGTCGCAGCGGCGCTCTGTGTGGGAGGCCCCGCGCCCCCCTCCAATCCAGCGGTAGCGATCGCTCTTTTCTTATTATTATTCATCCTCTTCCTCCTCCCCCCATCGACCTCTCCTTATCCTTTTCTCACCTCCTCCTCCTTCTGCTCCTCTTCCCCCTCCTCCTCCCCCTCCTCCTCGTCCTCCTCATCCTTCTGCTCCTCCTTTCCCTCGTCGTCCCCCCTTTTCCTTCTCCTCCTCCTCCTCCTCGCCCTCCTCCTCCTCCCCCGCCTCTCCCCCCACCGCCTCCTATTCCTCCCCCGCCTTCGCCTCGCCTAGGCGATCGACCGCGGCTTGCTGCAGCAGGTCCGAGACCTGGAACAGTGGTTGAACGAGGCCGAGCGCGAGCTGGAGATCGCGCTCCAGGAGCGCGACGCGGCGCTGGCGGCGCCGGGGGCGGCGACGCGGCGCGAGGAGGAGAGGCAACAAAAGAAGAAGAAGAAAAAGAAGAAGAAGAAGAAAAAGAAGAAGAAGAAGAAGGAGGAGAAGGAGAAGAAGCAGGATAAGAACGCGGCGCGCTTGCGGTGAAGAAGCCCGCGAACAGCAGCTGAGTTGGCCGCGCGCCCTCGCATTCGCCCTCCTTAAAAAGTTAGTGGCAATTCTAAGAAGCACAGAAGTAACTTAGATATGAAACCCTACGTAACTTAGTAGGTAACTTAGTTAGCCGCACTAACTTGCAACGGTATGTAGCCTAAGCTACTTGAGGTACTCAGCGCTGAGCTTCCGTAGCATAAGAAGTTCCAGCCTTTAGGCAGGCCTCTCGCTCAACCGCCGCCGCAAGCCGCGCCCTCGCGGGCTCTCGGCCGCTGCCGCCCTGGCAGGCCCGGGTGCTGAGCCAAGTCTTGGCAGCAGGGTTTTCCAGTGCTTGCGACCCCCCCCCCTCGCACTTCGAGGCCAGTTTTCAGGGCGGGCCAGCCTCCCAGGGCCACCGGGGCCGCGCGTAATGGCGCCTTCGCCTGGGGGGGCGCCCCTCCGCGGGGAGCCACCCTGGGCCAGC